GACGTCACACGCTCTCAACGCCAATGCTCCCAGTACGAACGGTGGTGTGAGTAATTCCGGTTTCTGCTTCTGAAGCGCTCTTTCCGTTTCTGTGCTGGCCCATCTCGCCACCGTGCTTGGGTTGTGGGTAGGAAGCCTATCGGATGTTCGTTGGGATCTCGTGGGGCCTTTCGGTGGCCTCCTAGAGACAGTTTTGAGGCCTCTTGTGGGCTGGTTGGTGACCTCTTGGGGCTTCTTTTAGGCCTTTTGAGAGCCTCTTGGGGGCCTCTTGGGCTCTTGGGGGCCTCTTGGGGTCTCCTGTGCGCTTCTTGGGGCTTCCTGGGGGCCTCTTGGGGCGGAAGGCTGTGATTTTCGGTTCGTGTTCCCTCTCTTGGGCCCCCTCTCGGGGCCGTCTTGGGGCCCTCTGGGGCCGTCTTGGGCGCCTCTGGGGCAGTCTGGGGGCTCTCTTGGGCCGTTTTGGGGGCCTCTGGGAAGCCTCTTGGGCCGTCTTGGGGCGATTTTGGGTGTCTTGGGCCGTCTCGGAGCGTCGGGAAGCCGAAGGGGCGAGAAAGCTGAAAACCTTCAACCACCACAGGAACACATTTTTTTTGCCTCGTGAAGGCCTTTTGGGGGGGTCTTGGGGGCCTCCTGGGCCGTAGCTGCGCCACGGCCCATCGGGCGCCATAGCGTATACCACGCAACAACCCACGCCAGATTCCCTGGTATACGCCAAGGCCCCTGGTGCCGTAGGTGGGGTGGCGTCGTTTGTTTTCTGGTCCAACCTCAGGACTGAGGGCTGAGGGCACGCCCACTCCCTTTCCAGAGGACGCCCGCTGCGTGCCCAGAGGCACAGCGGCGGATCTAGGCCAGCACTCGTCCACGGCGGCGGAGCTCATCGCCGCGGCCACGTTCAGTGACTTCTTGCATGCTCTGGTGGCCTGCCAGATGCAGCGTGAAGTTACGGTGCGGCCATTTTCGAAAGCATTGGCGGCCGTTGTCATGAGGCGCAGCACAGTTTGTAGCAACGCTCGACCAGCCGTTCAGTTCACCAGTTGTGCCTTCCCTATCTGGAAGGTACTGGAAACCCGAATGAAAAATCGCCATCGGAAGCGTAGTCATCGTCATCATCCGCCTCTGTTGTTTGTTCCGCTCTGTCCTCCACCTCCTCACATCCTCATCTTCCTGCCCCCCTCGGATTCCTCCTCCTCATCCTCATTTTCCCCTTTCTCATGGTGCCAGTCTTGTCCCTCTCATTGTGCCTCACAGCGGCGTCCTGGTTTGGCAAATCACCCTAAGCAGGATGAGAAAGGGTGAAATGGGAGAGGAGGAAATGGACTAAGGTCGAGGGAGGATACGGGGAAGGAGGATGGCAAATAGGAGGAGGATGAGGAGGATGATGATGGGAAATAGCGCGAGCAGGAGCAGGAGGAGAAGTACCAATATGCTAAGGGGGGATGGAGCAGGAGGAGGACTCAGCATAGGCTTGTCACGCAGACTAGTGGGCAGCCTGCGTACCAACCAGAGCTCCGGGGAGGACTGCCCCAGGCCGCCGCCCCTGGGCGGGACGGGTCTGCGACACAACTCCGTGCGTAGCTGAGTGCGCAGGGTCCCAGCTGCGCAGCAGATCGCCCGTCCAGTGCCCGTCTCTCTCACGGTGACCCCTGATCTCGACGCTTATATCGCAGGCCAGGAGATTGACACCAGCACCAATTTCGGCGGTGTGCCTCCACCGAGGGAAGAAGATCCCGATCTCGGTGATGGTGGTAATATTCTGGCTTCCAAGGTGGCCGAACTAGTACCACCAACACCGAGAATGTAGGATCATCTCCCCCCTGTGGAGGCAGCTCCCTGTCTTGGTGTTGGTGCCAAGTTCGATGCCTCCGATTATAGTTGGTCGTGTTGGTCGCATCTTCCCCTCTCGCACCGTAGCCTGAGGTTCGTCCTCGCTCGCTCTGCTCGCGAGGTGCAGCTAGGGTTGTTAGGCTCCAGGGCTCCAGCTCGCAAGGCTCCTGGCACTCCGTCCGTTTGTGCCGCAACTGTTTGCAATTTGCACCCCCCTGCCCCTGCACTGTAGCTGATGCCGTCTGGCGCCTGTGGTCTCTGAGAGCCCTCCTCCCTCGCACGCGCCTGGCCCCCAATGGTAGCTTACGACGTCTAGCTCCAGTGTCTGACCCCGCAAGCCGCTGAGCTGCGTCGGTGACAGCGGCCTCTGCCCCGCCTTCTTGCATGCCCTGTTATCCCACGTGTGATTGATGACGTCAGGCTCCCGATGTGCTATTCAAGCCGTTTTGCGACCGTGCGTTTGTGCTGGCACTGGTCGCCTTGCTCGCACTCGCGTGCCCCAGCGTCGCAGTTTCTGTTGCTCCTGATGGCCACGCCACTTCCAAGACAGGCCATCAGAGCACCACGGCCCCGCGCACAGGGCGCTGGTGGGCACGTGCTGGCAGGATGACGATGCGGATGCTGATGCTGCTGCGGCTAATGATGACGATGATGATGATGATGATGATGATGCTGATGA